CCTCCCCCTGCTCCCCTCCCGTTCCATCGAGACCACGGTTTCACGGCGTAGGAAAGGTAAATTAAGAGCTTCTCTTCTCCTCCTCGGTCTACGAGGAGGATGCACGCTGACTCAAGGAGAGCCGTGAAGGGTAGCAAGGGGCAGGGATATAGGAGGAGAGGAGGAGGGGAGGCTTGGCGAAGAGACAGTTTTAGCCGCGGTATGTTGGCTAACGTACTTACGTACAAAGAGCGAACGTCTCTTACCGGTGAACGTATGCGCGGGAACAAAGAGCATCACCATCCCTCCGCGAACGGACGGAAAAGAAAGAAAGGCGATCGATCGAAAGGGTTGCGTTGCGTCGTCGTTTCGCGGCGTGGCGAGCGACGACGAGAGGTGTCTTATTAAATCGAGTTTCGGATTTTCTTTTTCTTTTTTTCTTCGATTCTTCTCTCCCATTTTTTTTTATCGATCGATCCGATCAGCCGATACATGGCGAGTTTTATTCGCCTCGTAGCTGAAAGAACGTTACATGATCGGATATCGATCGAACGAGATTTTCGAGCGTCGCGCTCGAAATCGCGAGTACGGATCGACGACGCGTAACGCTCCCAAGGGAATGACTTCTCGCGAGGAAGAAATTGCATTTAATATGGTTTTGCGTTGCTACTACCAGCCAGTACCAGGAGCGGCTGGCACACGCTAAAGGGGGACAAGATCGAAGGAGGCGAACGATACGACTATCCGATAAAACGTTTTGCCCTCGATAACGGAGAGGGGAGGAGGGGAGGGTTAAGGGTTCGTTAAGTTGCGCGAATCGAATTAAGACGTATATTCGTAGAGGTCGGGGTTAATTAATTATCGTATTCGTTTTATTCGTACGTAGTACGAGAGTGATGGAATTTTTCGAACGATTTTATTTTTAGATATCGTTCGATATCATCGAGGTAACAACGACGAAACTCGACGAAGCTCGACGATGAACGAAAATAGAATCGATCCAATTCGATCCGAATCGACATCGCTGCGCTACTCGAGTGGAATACGTACTACGTATCGCGTTAATTAATTTCCTAAAAATACATTTAAAAACACGCCGCATCGTAACTGTTGCATCTTCGTAAAACTCGACGAGTGAAGCTCGACGACGAGTTAACGAGATACCTCGATTGCGGTTCGCGAATAATCCTCTCCCGCCAAAGGTTTTCAAAGCCAAATCGCGAAAGAAGAAAGAGCGAGAAAGGGAAGAAACGTTGTTTCTTTTTCGTAGTTGCGGCGACGCTTCGTGAAAAATCACACGCGTTTATCAACGCGCATCCTTCCGTTCAAAGGGTTAATTCGGAACGTCCGGCGGGAGGGAAGGGTGGTATCGCGTCCCGTATGCTGTCGTATCCGATGAGAAAGGATGGATACGAGGTTGGGAACGAGAACGTTGGTAAGGCTGAGTTGGGGAAATTGAGCGCGTCGTTCCAGTCGGTGGCGTCAAATTAACGCCCCGTTCGCCAGCCACCGCGGCGCAACAGAGACGCAATTACTCGACATGGCTCTTACACGACGCCGTAGCGTCTTCAAAGGGGTTGCCGCGAGATTAGCCACGATACCATGCCTCTACGCCCGTCCACGCTTTTTCACCGCTCGCTCGAAAGCAACGAATCACACGGATGAAAATTGCCGTGTAATCCGTGACACGCCGCGTAATTTAACGTAGCGTAATCGAGAATAGCGCTCGCACGTTTCCACGGCCGACGATCGATCGATTTTACGTCGTGTTTCGTCGTCTCCTTTTCATCTCGAACGCAAAGCATTTTCCTAACTCTCGGGTTAAAGCGAATCTTTCGTCGAACGTGTGACGATCGACCAACTTTCGGACGTTCTTCTCCTTCCTCTTAATCTTTCGCGTATAATCGTAGACGGGCGTCTGTACAAATCGAAAATAGAGCGGAACGCGGCGAATCTGAATTCCACTCGTCTCGGGAGCGAATCCCTTTGGCCGTGGCAATCGGAATAACGAGGCATCCGGTCGCACCGCCACATCAATCCGGTCTCGGGGTTACGTTTTGACGAATCGCGGGATCGCGCCGCGCCACGTCTTTATACAGCCACCTTTTGGCGGTGCGCCAACACCACGCGTCCACCGCGAGGAAACTCGTACTCTCGGCTTCGTGTCAGCCGATTATTTTCCGCGCTCGAGTCGCCGCCAAGATTTACCGACTACATTTGTATCGGGGGTAGTCTCGCTGCAGTGGGCGAACGATCGACGTCGAGTCGCTCGTTCAACGGCCGAAAGTGAATCATTACGAGCCACCTCGCCGAGAAAATGAATGAACTCGAAAAAAAATTAACGTTCTTCGCCAGAGAATCTTTCCTCTTCTCTCTTTTCTCCCTCGTGTCGTCGAAAAGTTAGAAGAAAGTTACAAGATTTTTTAATCCGTTCACAGAAAAACTCGATGTCCTATTTATTCGTCCGGGATTATTCTTTCTCTTGGTATAAACTGGTTAACTCGAGTACAATCGAGTGTACAGAGTTTAAATTTTTCAGAAGCAACGCGCGATTTATCGATGGATCAAGCGAATTATCGGAAAGATGGATGGTTAAGAAGGAGCTTAAAATAGATAATAAGTGGAAATATACGTATTCGATATCGATGTAATTTGAATACTTAACGAAGCGATATATCTGAAACGGAGAATAATAATTTTCGAACGGTCGAAAAGAACTCGGGGTTCTCAACTTTCTAACAACTCGCGATCATTGCGTCGCGATATGAAATATGCGAGGTATAAGTTTTTGTAGCGCGAAGAGAGAAATAAATACATAAATACGTCGTGGATCGACGACGTATCGTATGATAACGTGGACGGATGGAGATTGTTGGTCGGAATCGGAGGGATAGAAACGGTTGGAAATGGACGGAACGTCCAATTTTCGCGATGCGAATTCGGTATCGACAACCCTCTCTGCCTCCGAGTGAGTGGTGGATCCGCTTCCCTGCGTATATTCTCCCCGAGCGCACAGCCGGTTCGCGGCATCGGCATGGTAGAAAGCCGACCGTGGACGCTCGACACTCTGTTTCTTTAATTGCGTTAATAAATAAAGGACAGTCGGGCGGTGGACAGGGACCCGGGCAGAGAGAGAGAGAGAGAGAGAGAGAGAGAGAGGGAGGGAGGGAGTGGGAAGGCGGCGAGAAGGGAAGAAGCGGAGGTTGGAGGAAAGACGAAGGACGTGGTGGAAGAACGAAGGTGGAACCGGTGGGGGCCGGTTTCCTTTCCGCTATCTCGCATCTCCCCCATAAGCAAATTGCAATATTTAACGCGATAGTTAGTCAATCTTTCTTGATACTCGTACGTGTGTAGGAGGATGATGCCGCGATTCGCGATTCCCTCCTCTCCGACTCGAGAAAGTATATTTTACGAGTTTGGCCGGANTGGAGGAAACGGGGAGGAGGAGGGGAGGGAGGGGGGAGGGGCCTCCCTCCGACTTGGACTTCCATTCCGACATTCCACGCGTGGGAAACAATGCAGTTCCATGGCTTCTTTATATCGAAAGTGTCGCGGGTCAGTGTTGTTAGCCGGGGACGAGCCGATACCCAATCGACGTTACGATATCGTCCTGAACCTATTTCGCGATTCCGGGATCGCGAACGAGATTCCGATCCCGATTCCGATCGATCCCCTTCCGACGCGTTGAAATTTTATTCCACCGATTAATTTATCTCTTTCTTTCTTTCTTCCCGACGTTGTTTTTGATTTGTTACTCGCCCGACTCGTTAATTATCGCCTATATGTACATACATATGTTAGCGCGATGTGTCGTCTATTAGAGATAAATTACTGTACACCGAGCGCTGTGTATCGATCGATACCTGGATACCGTTGCGCAACGCATAAATGAATAATTCATCCTTCTGTTTTATCTTCTAAACGATCGTACAGGTTGCCACTTTTTCCACGACCGAGTTATTCCCGTCGATCCATAAAGAGTATGCCTCGTAATTAACGCGTTACTCGAGCAAATGAAGATAAATTTTAAATAGCATCTCGAAACGAAGGAAAAGACTCGATCGATTTTCGATCAAAAATTCATATATAGGTATCGCGTATCGCGAAATCGAAAGCGTAAACCGACAAAGATTTTTGTATAAATTAGTTCCACGTGGGATAGCGGTGGCGCGATGGCGAAGATGAAATCGAGGAAGAGGTAGAGAGGAGAGGAATTAGAAGTATAAATCGTCGGCTGGTTTCAACCTTCGAATATGTGTTTGGATTGGCCGAAAGAGGTTGGAGAGAGAGAAAAAGGAATCCCGGGACCAAGGACTCGGGAGACTCGCGGGAGGATACACGACAAGCTTCTGGCTTTGGAGTGGTCGCTTGTAAAACAACCGAGCGGTACCTTTCTGTCGCGCGGTTCGATCCCGTGGGATCCGACTACTACTCGTTTATCGTGAACCCTCGAAAGAATCGCGTGCTGGCCCGTGGGAAACGATACAAATATTTTAATAAACATTCCACCTCGCCTCGGAATCGTCCATCTTTCCGATAAAACTCGCATCGCGCTCCGATTATCCATTCTTTGATCCGTCCACCTTTTCAACCATTGATCCTGTGTCACGTCGCAGCACTTTTAAAAATAATATCTCGCGTAATTATAAAATATACGTTTGAACGTATTAAAGATACAATAGTATTTATTTATTCAAAAAAAAAAAAAAGATCGCTAAAACAATTTTATTTTGTCGCAGAAAATATCTCCCCTATGTTCATGAGGAACTTCCCCCCTTCCTTCTGGAAGAGTCAGCATCCTGGTGAAGTCTACGAGTGTCCAACGGATCCATGGCATCCGCATTATCCACAATATCACCACAGGTGAGCGTTCCTAACATTCTTTCGTTCGTTCTTCAAATATATTTTATACGTTACGAGGGAATCTGTTCTAAAAATTCTACGTTTCTAGCTAACCTATTAAAATGATACTTGCGTTGTTACTCTCTCCTTTCTCTCTCTCTCTCTCTTTCTCTCTCTCTCTTTCTCTCTCTAATTTATTATGATAGTTAGATGTCGGTTAGTTTAGTTAAGGATGATTTGAAAGGATCGATCGACTGTTTCACGCGCACCGCGCGAAAAGTAGCCATGATTAATCGACGAAATAGTGGGAAGCGTTATCCGTTCAATTAACGAACGATAATGGGGGCCGATCGGGGGTTGGCGCATTCGAAAAATCTACCTCCGGCAGGCGCGACACGGTCATTACGCGATAGCCTGCCGGGATAAATGGTCGGAAACGAATGTCGCAGCGGGTACGGGGGTCGTGGAATGGGCTGCGAGGCGGGATGCGAGGAGGGGAACACGTTCGAAATGAGAGAAAAATCGAGAGAAATTGAGGAAAGGGAAGGAACGAGCGACGGAGGATGCGGGTTGGGAAGAGCGGGATAGATTAAAGGAGCGTAGAAAAAGCGAGACGATTGGTTTGAACGAAGAGAGAGAGAGAGAGAGAGAGGGAGAGAGAGAGGGAACCGGAGGAGAAGGCAAAGAGAAAACGAGACGTGAAAAATACAGAAAACCGTCGGGAGCAGGTACCCCTGCTTCGAGAGATCTTTAGCGCTGATCTCGCGTTGGTCGCCGTATAAATTACCAGTCTGTCACCGTTCTTGAGAAGAGGCACGATATCGAGAATTCTTTCTCTCCCTCCATCTCGCGCCATCTTTTTTTTTAATCTCTTTTTTTTTTCTTCCTTACCCTTTCCCCTCACTTTCATCGGTTCTCTTTTCGTTATTCGATTGTTTCGTCT